CAACCAGACTAACATCACGAAGGTGCCAAAGGTGGCCCACATTGGCACAAGCCGCTCTGGCTTTCATTATATGTGGTTCGATCTCATCACTCACGCCACCACCAGCACTTATGCAGCTACCTAGATACACGAACTTCTCGACTACTTCTATCTGCTCACCATCCAGAGTGAGTACAGGATTAGAATCCTGCCAGTCTTGTAGAAGTACTTTGCACTTCGAAGGTGCAAAGCACATACCATACCTACGGACACTAATTGTCAACTGATTAAGTGCGGATTGCATGGTTTGGGTATCAACACACAGTAACACAATATCATTCGTATACTCAAGGTCGAAGTCTTTCTTCAGGGAACAAATTTACACCGTTATTAACTACATCCATTGGAGCTGTTTTCAGAACGTCATCGATAGCGAAAATGAAGAAGAATGGTGAGGTTGAGCAACTCTGCTTGACCCCACTGCTTGAATGCAACAGTGGAGAGAGGTGGTTGTATGCCCTCACTCTGCCTGAGGTGTTTGTATGTAGGGCTCTTAAGATAATGATAAACTTCTCAGGCACACCCTTCTTCAATAGACGATCCCAGAGAACAGTCCTGTCCAACGAATCGAAGGCAGCCCCGATGAGGAGAAACAATACAATTGTTGGCCTTTGATAAGCATGACGGTGTCCTAACATTTGGCGGAGGGTGAAGATATGATCAATACATCCCCGATCATAAAAGAAACCAGCCTGCTTCTCACGAGTCAATCATTCTCGGGTTTTCAACAACCTACGAAGTATTACGGAAGCCAATAGCTTGGACGCAATCGGAAGTAGACTTATCCCCCGGCAGTTGTTACAGGAACGACGTGAACCCATTGTAAAGATGGGACAACTATCGACTCATTCCATGATGTTCGAACACTCTCTAACTGCCAGACCTTTGTGAACAACTCAGACATCCTTTACCAGAAAGTTACCGCCATCTTTGAAAAGGGCCGGAAGTAAGTCACCTGGCCTGGTGAGTCGTAGCGCCTCAAGAGTTGGAGTTCCTTGCGGACTTTCGTCTCGTTAGGTGGATCAGTCTTCACAGACCACAGAGAGCAAGACAGTCCGACCGATGCTACCGGGTCAGCAGACCCGGCCGTTGCTGCTACCTTTACGTGGTGGTTGAGCTTGCTTATCGTGATGAACCAATCAAGCTATACTGGCTGGAACAATCGTTCCCCAAGGTCCTACGATGCCAGACAGGTCGGTTGAAGAGCGGCAAACCCGAGATTCGAGGGCGAAGTCGTACTGCCGATTGTACAGAGGCGCGACGGCAGTAGGATGTTTTCTTCAGCCAACCAACACAACAGCGACGCTGCCTTCCTATAAGGAAGGGTGGGGTTAGAAAAGGTCGACCCTAAAAATGCACATCTTGCCTTGTCCCACGGATATCCGTCTCCGGCGGTAAGGTCTCAACAAGTACGGATCTAACACGAAAATTACGCATAAAAACGTTGTGTGTGACCTACCTCAAGCAGTTGTCACTTGGGCACTGAGGCCATGATCTCAGGTCGCTAAAACCACCCCTAACCCAATTTCCTTTTCAGTTACCTTTAGAAGGGGGAAGTAGACCAGTTGGACTGTCCTTCGAAAAACTCTGTACATCGTCCAAGACGTCAATAGATGTTAGTGATTGGCATCCCGTCAGCTTCACAAATTGTTTCACCCACACCAGACTTCTTGCTGCCAGTGGATCGGATGAGTTGAAAGAGCTTCCGGCAGTTACCAGTTACAACTGCTTCTTCCAACTTATTGGCAAGCTCCGACCACCAGGCTTCTCGCTCCTTACACAAGCTCTGCTTAATTTCATTACGTAAGTTTCCATTTGTGGTCGAACTCACGAACATTCGGAGTAGACCGACGAGATTCAATCAATTGTAAGGAACCTGAAGAAGCCCAGTGCCTATGAACGGGACGTTTCGCGAAGCCGCAAGTGACTTTACTCGCCAGTTTCTTGGCGTCATGCAACTGCAACCAATGCTCATATATACTTTTCGGTGGGATGGCAGCTAGCCTTGAGCCTAGCTCGGTTAGATATTTAGTTGCAACAGAAGCTGCAATCAAGTTACTGGCATCGATCCGTTTAGGTCGATGAATTTGTTGGCCACTGAAAAGTAAGGTAAGATAAGCGCAAACAAGGGCATAATCAGAGTTCATATAGGTACTCCAAAATAAGCGACAGTCTTGTACACAACCACGCTAGTGGTAGCTCATCGCGATGTGTCAATCTGAGTCCAAGTTTGAGATGCAAAAGGAGGATGCCAGGTGGCATATGAACGATGACTGTACCAGTAGTTGGTACTTATTATTCATTACTTAAACACAAATATTGGTACAAAACGGCACTGAATACATATGAGCCACACAAGTCACTTGATCTGTGTGTGGTTATAATACTGCCAGGGTTCACAAATCGAAACGAATGGTTTTCTCAGGGGACCACATCCGGAGCCTGCGACCTAAAGGTCTAATCCACAAGGCAGAGAAGCAAAGTTGGGAGATGCAGTCCCATGTTAGCTGGTGACCAACAATTGGTTCATACGCCACTTTTTACTTCAGGATACTGGAGCCCATATGCACCATTGGTTTGGAATCAGGGTGTTCCAACTCACTTAGGTAGATCCTCCGTGTCCACCAACCCGGTTAAGGCACCGGACATTCGATTTTGTCTTCTCGATTTCGTAAAGAACACCCCTACCACGAGAATGCAATGAGTAGGACGTCCCTGTCAGTGGCTGTATACGCGTGGCCATGTGAGAGAATTTTGAGAGGGAGCAGACTCTCCCTACCCTCGGCCGTATCAAGCATTTGGGGGCCAGAAACAAGTTATAATCTGCACACAGTTGCAGTAGACGGTCCCCGTTACTTGACCTGCGACCAACAAGTTCCCCTCGGCTACCTAAACGATTCTCCTATGTACTTAGACACCCAACCAGAGCATTCATGTCTCCGCCTAGTACTACAACATTTGCCGAACACCCTTTCTATAAAAGAACTGTTAACTGGTAGTAAAACTCATCCTTGATCGCATCCGGGCTGCAATCTGCCAAAGCAAACGGAGATGACAAAAAGACATTGTTACTCACACCGATTTCTCACTTTGATGGAACTTTCTAATCTAATAGCACACAACCAACTGTTAATTGGGATCCAATCGATCAGTGCCACCTCAGCTGTAGCGCTTTGTGCGATACCAACACCAGAAAAACCAGACGATGCCACTGAGATCCCGGAAAAACGCACGTGAAACAAGCTTTTCGAGGCGACAGATGGAGAGCGGATTTGTGGTACTTTACTAGTCTTGAATACGGGTCTCGGATAGACAACAAATGTCAATATAGTATCTACACATTTCAGTAAAACCCTAACCAATATCTAGCAGTCAGACGAATAAAAGCGGAGTACTTCAAAATACAGTGGTCCTCCACTCTTATTAGTCTAAGTAAATTCATTAACAGTTCATTTTGATACATATGAACAATGTTAAGTTATGATGTGTAAACAATAACGACAAAATAGTTACAAGCCAACTTGATTGATTGATCGGTTTAGGTTCCAAATTTAGTTTTTGGATGCTAGGAGAACATCTACTATCTAAAGGTATTTAGGCAGTATTTTAAGGCTAGTTGGTCTCTTGAGGACGATATATCCCGAAAACTTATATTTGTAATTTTATCATATCGATTAACTTATCGATTAAATGATTAAATAGCAGTCAATTGATGAACTCATTGATTAATGTTTAAAAATTTCCTATGACAATATCGATTATATATATTCGTATATATACGTTTTAAATTGTTTGTGGGCTCGCTCGTTTTCTAGCTGTTTGCAGAAGATATTTTCGATACCAAGCTTGGACTTCTCCTTTTAGGTAACGGGGCTGGAACGCATCAATAGCTAGATTACTGGTCTTTGGTCACTGAGTTTTGTTCTCGTTCGCAGATAAAGTGAACTCGTGAAGCTTCAAACCTAACAGACTCTTCATTTATCACAGTAATTAAAGATACAATCACTAATTTCAAACCCACAATAAATGTTAAAGATTAGTCGATAGAGACGAAAAGACTATTTGGTGAACGACTAGATACTGTTTGTAGTACAGCATTTAACTGGACGGTTCAAACGTGATCTTTTGCCTTTCCTGAAATAGCACACCACAAAGAAACTCGTGAACAGAAAATCCTTTCCAGCTCTAATTCTTTATTACATATGGATTTCCACACAAGGTAGAATCCTGTATAAGAATAATATCTTGTACCGTAGTCCAGAATTTAGCACATAAACTCTCCTGATTCAGATGACATTTATGGATGTTATAATTTTTTTTCGAAAGACAATGGACTTGACAAAGAAATGTTAATGGAACTAGATGAATGCTTTTACTACTTCAGAGATAATCAGAATGCATAGATGTGACGCATAGATAAAATGTAGTCTGTGTAAAGCAGTTTGCAAGACCGGCAAGTGCAATAACGTGACGTTAGGAAAATGATGACAGTTTCGTAACACTACCAACCTTGAAGCAAACAAAAGTTACACAATTCGCTTTGATTTTTGGACATATTTGTTATCTTATGAAATATTTCATACATTTTAAACATATGTACGTTTCCATGAAACGGAATACAGATAAAACCTTGATAAACGGAACCAAACTTAGTACATGAAGTAAACGTAAAATCAACATAATACATGTACTTGTCATGAACACAAAACTGAATGGATAAAGAACCAAAATAAATGACGAACCCTTCTCCTGTGAGTGCACAACAAGGCTGTACATGCCATGGGTGGTCCCTAATAGACGTAAGGTTTAGATTGTGACTGATTTCAGCAACAGACATGCAGCCAGAGACATCTTGTTTGTTGGCAAAAATCAACATTTTCGAGCGTTTCAACTCCTAAAATAAACTAGACATCGTATTTTACTTACCTCAGCAACTAGTAGTTTATACAGCTCCTGTTTAGTCAGGTATAGACGCTCTCGATCTGTACTGTCAATAACTAAAATGACAAACTACATGCAGTTAACATATATTTGAAAAATACGTCTGAGCCTGCAAAGTATGTGGTCCAGGAAGCCCTAACAGAAGTCTGTCCACCAATATCCCACATTACGAAATGCAGATTCTTCCACTTTACTTCCTCAACATTGCTTCCAATGGTGGGAGAAGTCTGTACAGCTTCTTTGAGAACGAACTGGTACAAAATAGTAGATTTTCCAGCATTATCCAACCCCAAAATTATGACTTTATAATCTCGAGAGTTGAAAAGCCTCCAAAACTTTGTGAACAATAAGCCCATCACCCATGTGGCTAAAATTTAAAAGCCCTCCATGCATTTCTATATGTTTTTTTGCAATTAATACTAAAAGTGCTGAGGAAAATTAAAAAATATGATTTTATTTATTTTTACATATGTCGATTATGGTGTTGATCAACGCTTGTTTATCCTGCAGCTGATTCAGCGGGTTAATCAGGTTATGTTAAAATGGCTAAGGCTCCAAATGGTACAAAGGATTACGATGAAATGTACAAGCTTTTACTTGTTGGCGATTCATCCGTTGGTAAAACAAACCTTCTCCTTCGGTTTTCCGATAATAGTTTCAGCAAAACCTTTATAGCAACCATAGGTAATGTATTTGTCATGGTACACACATAACTTTTAAGGCATTGACTTTAAAGTTCGCACCATAGAAATTGATGGAAAAAAAATTAAGTTGCAGATATGGGACACTGCCGGTCAGGAGCGTTTTCGAACTATAACAACGGCTTATTATCGTGGTGCAATGGTAAGTTGTGACAAAGTTCGCACTTATTTTCCAGGGTATCATGCTTGTTTACGATGTTACTAATATAGATTCTTACCATAATATCACTACCTGGATGAACAACATAACCGAGGTAAGTCTTTAAAAGTACCATGATTATGTCACCCTGCTAGGCACTTTCACTAGAGTATCTTTACATAGACCACCGTTTAACATAAAGCAAACGGACTTGGTTAGCTGCTTCAGCTTTCAGGGTTATTCCGTAATCCCAATCATACGATGTGTAGAGAGTGCGATAACTTCACACCGAAGTATGGGGTTATTATTCGACATCCATTCAAGGAACAAACTTCCAGTTTGTAACTGAAGGACCTAGTTCAATTTCAGGCTTTCTTAGCGAAGTCAAACTGTTAGTTTATGCTTATAGTCTTTTATCCAATTACAAACTTATTGGAACTGGAAAAGTGAAAAAAATGTCAGTCAGTGAGTAAACTTAGATCCTAGTACTTTTGTACATCGATCCAAGTCACCATATCCCATTACCACGGAGATAAAATTGTAATGCTATAACCCAGAATAATAGAGGCAACAGCAGTATCAATGGTACTACAAAAGGTTACACATTGAAAATACTATTCGAGAGGAAAATATAAATTAGTGATATAAAAACAAAAGAATTTGTAACCAATCGGGAATCGCAGAATATGGAGGAAGACAAAGAACGAATACACCTGCGTCATTCCAAACAATTTCCACTCATGTCATTCATAGTCCACAACCATTAATTATGATAATCACGTGGAAATTGCTAAGTCCAATTTTCAGTCACTTCACGGACTGATCCCGTGTTTTTTTTCGGCCGACAGTAGCTTTCTTTCAGACTCCTACACTCGAAAACGTGGGTCGTAGAGGTAGACAGTAGTTGAGAATGTGTAACATATCCTAACCACCTCAGTTGGTGAAGATTGACTGCATCATCAATCCGCTTCTCATACTTACCTAGTAGCTTATTCCTAACCCACTCATGGCTTACTCCGTGGTCCCAAAATACACGAGCAATGCTTCGAAGACACCTATGGTCTAGTACCAATAACCTACGAATATCCCCCATTCCTAATGACCATGTTTCACATCCATAAGGTGGAACGGAGAAAACTAGTGCGCAATGAACTCCCTCTTTGCTTCAAAGACAGATATCTCACCTACACTGAAAGTGACGCATCTTAGCGATAATCGATCGAGCCTTATGAATCCGTGACGAGATTTCCTCAGACACCACACCATCGGCATTGATGAGACTCTCAAGATAAGTGGAGCGGTAGATGCGTTCAAATACTTCACTTCCTACCATTAATTCGGGTTCTGATGCAAGCCAATCCTGAAGTGACATTCTGCGCCTGAAGAAAGAGAACCCCATCTCAAACATGTTTTCATTGTTGCTTAAGATGGTCAGAAGACTGTGTTTTGTCAGCGTCTTTATCAAACAGGACTACATCATCTGTGTATTCTAAGTCAACAAGTGAATCTCGTGGCCGAAAATCAACCCCTGAAAAGCCATACGATGAAAGTTTTGTATTTAAAAGCATGTCTATGACGAAGTTAAATAGAAATGGGAAAACAAAACAACTCTGACAAACACCACTTGAAGTAACCAATTCCGATAGCAGTTCGCCATTAGCCCTGGTTCGACTAGCAGTGTTCGAGTAGATAACCTGTACAAGGGTTAATCTACTTCTTTGGGACGCCTTTGAACAACAGACACTGCCACAGAACCTCATGTTCAATAGAGTTGGACGTCGAGAAGTATATTCGTGTTCTCGAGTCTACCAAAGGGTGAATATTTGGTCTATGCATTCAGGTTCGAGTCTGAAGTCGGTCTGGTTTTTTCGGGTTTGTTCTTCACGATCTCTAGTTAAACATCGAAGTATTATTGAGGTTAATATTTTAGACACTATATTGGGTAAACTGGTTCCTCTGTGATTGTCACAAGTGGATTTTTATCCTTTCTTATAGACCGAGACCAGTCAGAGGATTACGTCCAGTCCCCAGATTTTAGGTAAAAGCCTAGTTGACCTGACTGCTAGAACTGGGCCATCAGGCCCTGCTGCTCTCCATCGCTTTAGATTACTTATAGCCTTTTTAACCTCACCAAGAGTTGGAGAACTTACATCACAGAGTTACACTTAAACTTAATTTGTTATAATAGGCTTGTTATCCTTATAATTTGTCCATCAGTTCAATCTCCTGAATTGAGACTGAATGATACCCCATCTTTTACCGAGATAGTTTCGCCAACACCTGGATTCTTAATACCTGTCTCCTTGATTAGTTTGAACAGTTGCACACTGTTACCTATCACTACTGTCTTCTCCATTTTTTTCCGCTCCTGCTACCCACCATACAAAGCTACCTCGAGATGAATATCACTTTCACGGTCGACTATCTTTCCCTAGTTGTCCCTGATAAATGTTCCCAACTTTCTCATTATTAAGTTGAACTCTAGGGAATTTTCTTGCTGTGGTTTTTCTACGTCCAGTAAGATGCAGATGTGATGGATATTACTAAACAAAATATGTGATCGTGGAATAAGATTTGGAATGTACTTTTGTTATAACATTAAAACTTACATAAAAGTCTACCATTTATTCGATGAATAAGCAGAAGATACCACCACTGCTTATAGATTCTAACCGTTTAGAGTTAATTACGCAATCACTATCTGTACTAAATGTCAAACTCTCTGTTTATCCCCTCTGAGTTGTTTTTATGTGGCTAAAAAAGCATATATAATATCCAGTTTCTTGTTACCTCATTATGAATAGTTCGCATCTTAATCTGCCGTAAGTTAATATGGAAAAATCGTAATTTTCGAACTACGTGCCTTAAAAATTGTCTGTGAAACTGTTCCAACATTTTTCAGGATATGTGTCACTTTTCAGTCTGTGGGATATAGTCTTCACAGTGTCCTAGCGTAGGTCTTACAAATTTTTCGTGTTTTCGCCTGTCAGTAACCCCATATCTTAGTCTGACCTCACTAACTTTCTTCCAACCTAATACACTGGTAATCATAGTCTGTCGGGGTTGGTGACAGTTGAGTATGCGTAACACATGTCCAACATATAGTTTGGATAGCCGTCTCAGCAGATCTCGAAGTGCATTTCGGGAACTCGAATCTCTAGACCTAGCAGCACATGTGGAAAACGTCGAGGACAAAGGATAAGAGTTGATAGTGGAAGCAGGAGTGTATCGTAATAAAAAATGGGGTTTGACTATAAATTAGTAAATCTCGCATGTTTTAAGGTGTCAGGGTGGTTATCACTTCCTAACTACACACCTTAAAAGGATACTTTCTTGAGGTATCTAACAAGCGAACTAGATTAATAGCGCTCTCAGCAACGTGGAAAAGTAACCGAAGAACCCTGGAAGCAACTGGATGCATTTACTTTTTTGAACTGATCCACGAGTTGGCTCCGTACTTGTGAGGTAATACCGCTGGGGAAGACAACCTCAGTAATAGAATGTGTGCTTTTCTCACGGTTCACTTTCTGTATACCCCTTTTGGTATGGCAGAGCACCATTTGTGCTGGTCATCTGAAAAGAAAATCTCACTGTCTTCATCCCTATACAATCAGCAGGTTGTTGCCTTTTGTGTTAGAACCTAAAGAAACGAATGTTCCAGTCAAGTTGGGTCATCACAATATACAAATCTTACTATCTTATTAAGATAGAAGTTACAGTAGCTGACAACTTCTAAATGCGATCATAAAGTTACATTCAAACTTAATTTGTTATAATCGACCTGTTCTTATAATCTTCACTTCGATAAACAATTCTTTTTTTAGCATACTAATGAAGGCGTAGCGAAGATGCTACTTGGAAATAAATGTGATCTGGAAGCACAAAGAGTAGTAAAGTATGAAAATGGTTATAAGGTTAGTAAAAGTATTCATCCATTTTAAAAGTATGGGTATGTTCTGTATGTCAGATAACCATATTTTACTAAATATATAGTATTAAATAAACCAATTAATAATTATTATTGATAAGCTTATTTCAAATAACATTCAATCGTGATTTTATTCTTAGACTCGCTTGTAAAGTAAATACAAGTTTTCACTCAGTTATTTACGTACCTGAATTTCAACCACTGTCACAATGTTAAGCCCAGGTTACTCTAGACTGTTAGTACAAGCATCATAGGACTTGGCACAAATATACATCAGTCTAAGTTGCAACACTTCATATCGAACCACTAACAGTAATCTAAAGCATCGAAATAACAATACCAGTGATAGCGACTAATTAAATACAAGGAGTATAGTTCAGAAGTAGTTGTGACGAGGTTTATACGTGAGACTCAGTTGTATTGGTTATTCATATAAGATTATAAATTAGTAAGTTCACTTATTTCTCTTCTAAGTTTTTCCGCTATTTCTCTACAGCTCGCCCAATCATATGGAATCAGTTTTATTGAGACCAGTGCTAAAGGAGGTATTAACGTCTCTGAAGCGTTTACCATCTTGGCCCGAAAAATAAAAACGAAGAGGGAACAGGAGGCTGTAAGTTTATATATTGTGAGCAGTCCCCGTTATTTTATTCAGTATATGTGTATATATACCAGTATTTAACTTTCGTCTACAATATGGTACCAAAACAGAGCACTACATTTTAGTACATTAACCTCTAGAAGACTTGTGAATGTCTTTTTTGTTATTATCATTATGTTAGCTTACAAAGTGAAGAAATTTACAAACAGCATATGTGTACATTGATACTAGGGATCATTTAGTGTCCTGGAGTCAGTTTAAACTTATATCAGGTAAAAAAACAGATTATGTTGCTTATGTTTCCTGTAATTAAAGTTAGATGTTATGTTAGTCAGTCATAGTCAACGTAAGACCTGACACTGATGTACATCGACTCTAGGTCCCGCCTCACTTGTGCTCAATGACATTAAATCATGTCTAAATTTCATCTGCACTTAAAAAACTTTATATCTAGGGTATGTCACTAGCACTGACTATGTGTCTTATAGCATCGTAACCATGTTCGTGTGTATCTGTAGTTGTTAGTTGGATAGTTGTGTTCCTGTGGCTTCATAGGAATCAAGTTACAGACCTAAGTAATAACCTTTGAACTCAGGCATCAAAAGTTATATAACCCATCACCACAACGTTTATTCTAATTTTCTTGTCTTTTTATTGACGTCATTTAGAACGTGTTATACGTGTATGAAACCAAACTTTTCTTATTAATGCTGTAACTTTGTTTGCGGTTTTAACGGAACTTCAAGTCGATCTTATTTAATGTGGGCTTTTTTTGTTTAATTTTTAGAACCTTAATAACCCACCTAGAGAAGACATAAGAAATATAACCAGCAAACGACCCAAACGCTTAATATGGGGATGCTCAATATTGTAAATGGCGTCTCCATTGATTTTTCCAAGAAACATCTTTTAGACATGATCTATACTGCACTCAAACATTGAACAATTCTTGATTTTAGGGATCTTTATTTGGTGCCTTTTATAGCCTCGTTTCTTCGTCGTCCCTTGCTTGTATTTGACACATGGTTTCCATCGTCCCCATCATACAATTTCGTTTATTGTCTTCAAGTATCTACTTTTACCTTTATAAAAACATTATATCTTATCAGCAAATTGCTTTTTCCGTCTAAATTCTAATTTTTTTTCCTTTTGTTGTTACGAGTCAAGCCGGTTTTATCACTTAATTAGAATTAGTTGAAATAATTTTTGTGTGGTTTGGTTTCTTTCACCTCGTTGTTAGTTTACACCGACGTGCAGTTTTTCATAATTGTTTTATTTTTTATCTCAAGATCACTAGTTTCTCAGTGATTGTAAATAATCCATTTTGGCACGTATTCCTACTCTTTTCAAAACCTGATTCTGTCCTACTTTTCCAAATTGCTAAACTATGTGTATATATGTTGTTAATTTGGCCCCATATTCTCTGACTTTATTTTTGGGAACCTATTATGGTGTAATTCTGAAGCTTTATTTTGAGCGTTTTTATCTGCGCGTTTGCGCTGTGTTAGTATTATATGCATCTGCATCTATATGAAAATACATTTAATCATATTTTTAGACCGACAAAACCTTGAAATTCTGTCTGCAGTTTCACTTACAGAACATGTACACCTATTTATGGCTTCTTATCAAGCCGTTATAGATTATACTTATAAATCTCTGTTAGGCACAATATATCATCTGTACTAGGAGTTGGTCATGCCGGTTTCAGTTGATTTCTTCATTTGATTACATTTCAAATAAAAGTAACTGTCTCTCAAGAAAACGTAAGCTTTTTTAAGCATATGATTTTCATTATTGGTCTTCTATTATCAGAATTTCTTAAAGAATTCTCGATAAAGTTGTTTCTCGTCTTTCTGTCTTGCTTTTTTCATTTAATCTATCGCCTCATCAGCTTTTCAGATTATATGCAATACTAAATGAGCACTATTATGTTACTCTGTTTTATTTTTCATTTTGGCTAATATATTTAACACTGATTATAATAAAACTTATCTTCAAGTTTTTCTGGTATTAACTATTAATGTGTAAATTTCTAACTCCGAACCCCTAGATATTACACAAATCTTTTATAATAATAATTATGCGTCAAGTCGTATCCTAGCGTAAGTTATATGTTAACGTGAAATATGGCTGAAGTGATGTCATGTACAATGTAACCCCCAAACGCCCTGGTACGGCCGACGGTGGAAAATTATGCTCTCCCTCTTAAATGGCCACTCACAGGTAAGTCTTACTGCCTTCTCGTGGTGTGGGTGTTGTTTACGAAATTGAAAGGATGAAAAGCGAATGTCCGGTGCATTAACCGGGTTGGTGAACATAGAGAGTCCACCTAGGAGAGTTGGAAAACCCTGATTCCAAACCAATGGTGCACATTGGCGTATGATCCTGTTGTTGATCACCGGTCACCATGGGACTGCACCTCCTAACGTTGCTCCACTCCCTTGTGGATTAAACCTTCAAGTCAAAGGCTTGGGGTGTGACCTCCTAAAAAAACTACCTGCTTCGGTTTGGGCGCCCGAGAAGTATCACAAATTAATGATAACTGCTACTGGCCTCATTGTTATTGTGTGGCTCATATGTATTTGGTGCCTCCCTTGTACCAATGTTTATGTGTTTAGTTAATTAAATACACTGTACATGTTAATATGTTGATAATGTAGTGCTCAAATAAGCTACTCGTTAATTCCAAGTTATATTTGACTCGAAAACCGGTTATCTAAATACCCCAATGTTCTACACATTGATTTTCCTCAGGTAAACGAGCTCATTGTTTCTATAAGTGTATCAAACTGCGGATACAGAAAGTGTCCGTCGACATGGAACAGTCAAAACGAATAGGTTGCTTAGGGTCAGTGACCTAATCAGACAGTTGGTTAGCTCGCAAATACCCTTGTACGGCCGAGAGTGAGCAGGGTCTACTCTCCCTCTCGAAATGCTCTCACATGGCCACGCGTATATAACCTCTGCCAGGGAAGTCATTCTCGCTGCGAGGGTGTTGTTTACGAAGTTGAGAGGACGAAAAACAAATGTCCAGCACTTTAACCGGGTTGGTGGATATGGAGAGTTGGAAAATCCTGATTCCAAACCAATGGTGCACGTGGGCTCCAGTATCCTGAGGGAACAAATGGCGTATGAACCAACCGGCTACCATGGGACTGTATCTCCTTACGATGCTCCGCTGCCTTGTGGGTCGGACCTTTAAGTCGAAGGCTCCGGGAGTGGTCCTCTAAGAAAACCACCCGCTTTGGTTTGGGCACCCGGGCAGTATTACAGCCCTCACAAATCAAATGAGACTTGTGTGGCGCATATGTATTTGGTGCCTCCTTGTACCAATATCTATGCGTTCAAATAAATAAATGATATCAATATAAATATTATATTGTGCAGTCTGTATTTTCTAAAGCCAATTAGAAACCATGTTGTTTTCCACAGTATGTCTGTGCCTGACCTATCAGTCAGAAGTATCGCTAATAATCCACCAATCCAAAAGAATATTTCAGTTAAACCCACTAAAGGTGTGTGGTTTATTGGTTAAGTGTGCGACCCAGCCCACGAGTGCATCTGCAGGCAATGCTTTCGTACATGAAACTCGCACTTATATGCGATGTTCTCTGATTTCATAAAACTCAGAAACAGGGATAACAATATATATTTAGTGGTTGATGCCCAAACCTAGTTGACTTCTGAGGTTTGCACAAGTCGTTTATTTTTGTGCCTAACTATAATGACTCCTAAAAATTTTGAGTTTACTATGGAAATAAAACAGTTAACCCTCAACACCAATGAGTACTAACATTGATAGCGACAATAGTAATAAGCAAATCTAGCTAACCAACATTCTAGTTTTTAACTTGTTTTATGACTGAATACACAGTCATATATTTGTTTCCTTACTCATAACATTTTAGATGCACTCTCGACGCGCGTGAAGAAGCGATTGACCTACGGGTTATTTGAGGGCAAAAGTAGACGTCATTATGATAAAGAAAAAAATGATTAGTACACCAAAGTGTCCTAACAAACCCCACTAGAATGCATAGCGTTGATCAGTGGCTAGCTGTTTAAGGTATGAACAGCACAAGTATTTTGTGCTCAGTTTAATAATTATCAAATAGAAAAGCCATATGTTTGGTAAGATTTAGTTATACTACAAAATATGTGGACTGTTATGTATAAAATAAGGTTTTGTCACATGACAATAATGGTAATTTTCAGGATTTTGTATGAACAACTGACAATGATTGGTCCAACACGAGTGTAGCCATAAGAGTCGTGCTTTAAACTCAATGTTCTTACTACGTAGTGGACAAGTTATCCATAGTAGTGTTTATAGATGGGTAATTAGGAATTACTGAGCATATCTGTATTATGTTGAACAGAAGCTATAAATCAACCCGTTTGAAATTGGGATTTGAGATCAATACAACTTTTATACCACCAAAGGTGACGCACTAAACGGTGTCTTTAGTTAGTTAAATGCTCATAAGCTGACAAAGTGAGTGATTATCAGGGAGAGCATAGGTTTTAGCCAAGGAGAGTACAACTTCCAACCCATTTCTATGACATTAGCATGAGCTTCTTGTCAGCGTTTGGATAAATACTACAATGATGCTATCGCGGTTGGAATATCTACGACTATACGGAGTGTTACTTAGTACCCCCGATCGGTGAGCCAAAACTAGTGAACAAACAATGACACAGAGTTCTGTTTAGTTAACAATTGCAGCAAATTCCTTCACTGATACAGTATCGCTATGATGTCGATAACAACTATTTAAACTAATAACAAGGATAAAAATGTCTTCACACTTTCGTCGGATATTCTCCCTGACTCCAACCGCGAACTTCAGGTCCCACACGATAATACCACGAACGAGGTTGCCATATGGTGATACTGGCTCGGCAAAACGGAATGTTGGTACGGCCAAACAAGATAAGTGATTTAGTACCTCATCTTCTTTGACACCCCCACCAGAAATGGACAGTGTCAACTTTTCCTTCTAAAGTCAACTGTTTTAGCCCACTTGTTGGACAATATATTTAATTTTGACTACAATAGCACTAATCATTTAGTTTTTCTGATACTAACTATTAGTGTGTAAATTTCTAACTCCAAACCCCTAGATATTACACAAATCTTTTATACTATACATCCTAGCGTAAGTTATATGTTAACGTGAAATATGGTTGAAGTGACGTCATGTACAATGCAACCCGGCACAGTACCTGTCTTTAATATGTTGATAATGTAGTGCTCAGGCAAGCTACTCGTAAATTCCACGTTGTATGTGATCTAAATATCAGCTAAATACTCGAGCGTTCTACACGTCGTTTTCCCTCAGGTAAAAGAGCTCATTGTTACTATAAATGTATCATCAAACTCAAGTTTAAAACTGCTTTAGGCAATAATGTCGCAATTAAATCATTTATTTTGTTGTGCGATTGTTACCGTTTGTGAATGATGATTTAAGTTGTTTGAATGTTGGAGGGCGCTTTCACCAACAGATTACTGAAGATTCCTAGTTATTCCACACCTTGTGACTATTTCAACTGTACCCGTACATGAACTGGGAGCTAATCCAATTGGTAGTCATTTGGATTCTGTAGAGGAAATTTAGTAGATGTTAAAGATGAACACCAATAATCATAATTACTATGCTTTGATAAGTAGATTCAGGTTGTTGCTCTGATTACTGATAAACTCATTAATATCCGTACCAGCTAATCACATAACAGGCAGAAAGTCATGTTGGTGAGAATTTAATAACCTACAACATAGGGCCAGGCACATATGTTCATCGGTCGACGTTGCCATACCTCATTAACACAACAAGATGAACATCGGATTCATAGAATTAGTTAATTCAGTGTTGGTAATATATAAAAGAAAGATTGCATATAAGGACATAGTACAGGAAGAAAGAATTAGTTGGTAGAAAGATACGAAGCGATTTAAATCTCATAGTTTAAAGGGAGATAGAGAGTGTATACACCTATGCCATTGTGATCGATTCTGAGCCATGTCACCCAGGGTCTACAAACATTGGTTACGATAGTCACGCGGACCTCTACCAAGTAGTCTGCATCTACCAATATGGCTAAGACCAGAAGTTAGTGACT